CCCGTAGAAGATAAGATTCACCATCTGACGCATCACTCCCTTCATCCTCTCGCAGGCGTCAAGTTTCACTAGTGTCACCTCTTACTATAGATATTATTGATCCAGTCCCACCTCCAATTGTTGATGTTGCTGATCCCGTCCCACCTCCTGCTACGAATGCTGAGCAAGAGGCATTTGGAGGAGACCCAGTTGATTTATCATTACTGCCTTTGTATCCAAACCATATTGCCAAACATATTTGGGACAGAGAGGTAGCTTGAGTTGGATTCATTATTGTTTATGTTAATTTTAATTGACAAATTTCTAATATTGAACATTTTTAACAAAATCCAGGAGCATGATTTGTGGAAGTTTCTTAACCATGCGAGGAAGATTATTGCCTTGCCTCAACCGAATGAGGATTGGTTTTAGTCAATTTTGTCCTTACCTGGTCTAAAAGACTTGTGCATGATCGGTTATACTACGGTTAACCACGAGATGTTTAATACATTCGTGGAGAGATGGAACTCGGAGACCTCGTCGTTTCATCTCCCACTTCGTGAGATGTCTATCACACTTGAAGATGTCTCGTGTTTGCTATATCTTTTGATCAGGGGAGATTCTTATATCATGAGAGGATTGCCAAAGACGAGTCACTCGAGATGATGGTAGAGTATCTTGGGGTTGACCCAGGGGAGGCGATAAATGAGTTAGATAAGACCGTGGGGTGCTCATGCTAGATTTGAATACCTGGAAAAGGTATATGAGGCTGAGATCCTGCATGCACAACATACTCATGGTGATGATAAGCAGGTGGCGCTTCACATATCACATGCTTTAAGAGCATACCTGATTTATTTGTTTGACACTGCAATTTGTGTGGACAAGAGTGTCACTTATACATACGTTGTTTACCTACGGTACTTCGTGGATTTCAAGCAGATCCATGAATACAACTGGGAGATGGCTTGTTTGGTCTACCTGTATTTGAAGTTGAGAGAGGGTTGTATGTGGAAGACGAAGCAGGTCACATGCAACGTGACACTACTAACGATAATAATTATTGGTCTTTGAATGTTTTTTTTTGTCATTTTCATTTCATCTTTGCAAAGCCATTATCGATGATTCGTGTGTTCTAAACTTTTCATTTCAGGCATGGATTCTCTAACACTTCCTGCGCATCTCTAGATGGGCAAATGTACTTAAGTACACTGAGGATATGACGTGTGTTACTGCTTTTATCCCGCTTAGAGGGAACCAGTCGACCAAGCTTTTTAGAGTCTATCTTGATCGTTTGGTTATTAAGGACATGCATTTCAATAGCTATGTTGATCATCGTGAGACGTAGCCATTTGGCGAGATAGTTTTATACTCTAGATGATTGGCATGGAAATTGTGTCTCACTGCTCTTTATCTGCTCGAGCGTATCATGCGGCAATTCGGCAACACTTAGACCATTCACATACACCCTGTTGTCTCTGCTCCTCTTGCCTTGACATGTAGATAGATGGAGGACATGTTTGATGATTATAAGAGTCATTTGGCACCGAAGGAGGCGCGGGCTACCATAGCTGAGAGCAACTTGAGTTACGTCGAAGGGTACATCAGATGGTTCTTTACGGTGTCACATTCGTACATGGTGCATGCTGCTCCATGAGATTTATCGAGACTAACTCATCATGAGATACTAGAGGAAGAACATGCACAACTAAATCATGTTGAGGATGACTTACCTAGTTGTCATCGCATAGTGGAGATTGCGCAGACAGGCATTGATAGTGTTATCTTTCCTTATGGGTCTGATGTGAGGCGGGTTTTATATGCCATCACGATGGAGGAACATGTGGCATTATTGTACTGGAGATATCGCCTGAGGACAAGGGAGATTGATGACCTAGGAGGCAGACGAGGTAGAGGAGTCAGAGGAGGCAAGGGAGGTAGAGGAGAGGTAGTCAGACAGACATAATAGTCTCTTAGTATATAGTAGTGGTACTATTTTGACGGTCTCGTTACTATATTGATCTCGATTGTATGACATTTTCATCATTTATTGGTATTTTATTTATGTATGGCATTTTTGGACCATTTCGAATTATGTACGTCTATTTTTTATTTTCGATTGTATATATGGTTTAAATATTCATCTAGACACGGATAAATAAAATATAACATGAAAGACATATTTTTGAGATGTTACGGAGATTTATCTCTTGAATATTTCTAGAGATGCATCTCCGGTACAACTCAAATGTATAATGGCTTCTGAGTGGGATGCATATTATGTTTTAAATTGTTATCGAGATACATCTCCAAAATATTTCAACGTTCATTCAGAATTTGGTGCGCCAAGAAACGCATCTCCAAAAACAAAGGGCATTTAAATAATTTGGTGTGGTGGCTAAGAAACATATAGGGTACATTAAGAAGTTCCCTTTCCTTATACTATTTGTGAAGTCCATTTTCCCCAAAGATATGGAGACTAAAGAATGGATTATGATTGACACTGACCTTCTACTGTTAGATTTATCTGATATTTTGTGGGTTACAATCAATTGTTATTATGGTTTATGAAAACAGATTAATCATGATTCTGATGGAGGTGTATAAGTAGTCTTCTTTATTGGTTAGGTGATCCTTTTAATTAAAGTTTGAGTATCTGAAACCTGATCGGTGTGGGGAAAAGTGTGAGTCTTAACCCTTGGTCTATAATGGGTGGAGACTAGGGTTATATATTATGTGGCTAGGCCCCCTTTGTAATCACATAATCAGAAAAAGAACTGACGGCTCTACAACTTGTCCCGTTGAAAATTGTGAATAAGAAGTGAGATACAGAGGAAGATCCATTCACTTATTCTTTCAGGATTTTGAATCAAGATGACAAGAACTGACAACTCTCATCTAAAATCATGTATTCAACAAGTAAGTGTTGATTTTCTAATCTCATATAATTGATCGATAATTTTTTCTGTTTACGGCTAATATCACTTATATTATATGAGTTAGAACTCAATTGTTTATTCGAATTATTTTTATCCAATTTTAAATTATTGACGTAATTAATTTCCAACCCTATAACTATTATACTGTATCGGTAAATCCAATTTAAAGTTACAATAGCTTAATTAGTGTGAATAGTTACTTAACCGAATAGGTTCATACTATATAATATATCAATTAAAACATTTGGTATTAGGTTATATGGCAGATACCTTCTACCTTTAATTTGTGCCGTGAACAACATAGTAAATAGTTATATTATTTATTATTTCATTATTATTTTATTATATTATATTGTCTCATAAAAGATGAATTAAGATATGATGCATTCACATATTGAAATGCATTACATAACGACCGCGTAATAATAGAATGGCAAGATTTATTTATTTTTTAAATGCAATTTGGCATATGTAAATTAGAGGTGGTAAAATAGATTATTCGTTATGTTTCGTTTTAAGTCCGTTTAAAAATGAATGGAATGGACAAATCTGCCAAGTAAAAATGAGTTTAAAAATCTAGTCCGCCCCACCAAAGTAGTGGGTAGACGGACACGGACTTGTCCGTCTATTTTATTTTACTTTTTATTTTTTTAATAGATTAATATAATTATTTTTAAATTTTAATTAAATTTTTAACTTATTTTTTAGAATAATATTTTATAAAATATTTTTTAACAAATTTTATTTAAAAAAATATTGCATATATTCACAAATAAATATATAAAATAGAATTATCAACAAGTATTCAAAAATATAGTTTAAGTATTAACCTTCAACTAACAAAAAAAAAATATTTTAGTGGTTGATAACTACGTTGACGGACTGGAGGGCCAACCTGTCCCTTTTTTTTTGCGGGCTTTAGGTGGGACAGACTTAAAGCGGGGCGGGTTAGGCGGGTAGACGGACACAAAATCCTAACTCAATCCACTATTTTTTGGTGGGTGCGCAGAACGGGTCGGCGAGTCATAGCTAGTTTTGTCACCCCTAATGTAGATGCACAATGTTAAAGCATTGTTTTGCAAATTTGTTGCCCTAACTTAAGAATGTCGTAACATTACTTGTGTATGTTTTGATTTTGAATCATTGATTATACTTAAATAATTTATTAATTCAATTGTAATTGTATAGTTTTATTATAAATAATAATAATAATAATAATAATAATAATAATAATAATAATATAAATACTATATATAATAAATAAAAGAAATGCTAACGGGTGTCCCGAGACACTGGTTAAGATATTAAAATGTGTATTTAATGAATTAAACATAACATATTTTTTTTTAAAAAAATTCTTAACCCGGACACTGGTTAGCATGACCCAATGAATAAAAAGGAAGTATTTTTTAAATATGAGTTTGTTTATATAAACTTGTCTTATATTAAACTAAAGAGTAATTTGTTAAATAATTCAATAATGCATTAAAAAAACCAATTGAATCCATAATGGTTGTGATATGGTACAAGTTCTGAATTCATGTTGATGCTTTCAATTGTATTATATTGGCTTAATTCATCTTTTAGTGTCTTAAGTTATTTTGTTGTTTTTAATTAGTCTCATAATTAAAAAACTTTCTAATGTAGTCTTTTAAGGACACTCTGTTAGCACAATAAATCTCTTCTATTAGTTTCTTTAAAAAAAAAACGTTAAAACGCGTCTATGTGGCATTTGTTGATACTTAGGTGGCATTGTTTTTATTTTTGTCACCCAGTTTTATTTCTGATGTGTCAATAGGAGACCTTTGTGTTCTTTTGTAGTAACTAATATCTTGAACTATTCAACTACTCTCAGAACTTCATTGTTGCTTCTTCGTTCCTAAAAAAACTAGCCTGCAAAGAACAAGACGTTCGTGGTTGAAGTCGACGGTAGTTTGCAAAGACGATAGTAGAAGAAGATACGTAAAGAGACAAACATCTTAAAGAGGTACGTGTATGAACTCATCATTTTAAAAAGTATTTGTATTTACAATTTCTTTTACTGCGATGTGTGATTTCTGATGTATCGTGTGTGACTAGGTGATGAGTGATGATAGGCTTGAGTGTGTTATCCATCATGGGGGTGGGTTTGATGAGTTTAACAGATATGGTTACAATGGTTTAGAGGAGATTTGGCAGGTTGACCCAGACTTTTGGAGTTATTTTGAGATTCTAGGTGGGTTGAAAGATTTAGGGTATCCAAAAGTTGAGAGTTTATGGTATTATGATGTAATGGATGATAATGAGCTAGTGATGTTGCAAGATGACGCGTGAACAAATAGAATGAAGACCATTGGTCTGATCAATAGGAATGTTCATCTCTATGTAATGCATCCAGTGTATGGGGAAGAGCAAATATTTTCTCTTGATAATAATGTAGGTCCAAATGGTGAAAACAATGTAGGTTCAAATGTTGTAGAAGACGACATTTTGGAAGATGACATGTTGGATGAATTGAATAATGGTGTAAAAGGAACTTTTGATGACTTGGGGACCATTGAAGAATTGAATAATATAGGTGACAATTTTGAAGAAGGAAGGCCTACAAGATTTAAAGATTCAGCTGTATTTTACCAAGAAGCTTCATTTGAGAATGTTAATATGGATGGGACCACTAAGGGCAGTAACCAAAAAGAGTCATGTCAGGATGTTAACTTTGAAGGGGACATTGTGTCTAAGGATGCCATAGTGGATATTATTTTAGATGAGACCACTGAACATATGGTATGTGACCAAGTATATGATGTATTGGACGACACACCTTTCTTGGTGAGTGTTCAAACTGAACCTATATCCGAAGGACTGATTTGTAACCAAGAGGTACATCAAGGAGCATAATGTAACCAAAAAAACGAGGGGCTTAAATGTAACCAAAAAGATGTGGGGATAGTGAAGATGATAGTGTGTTTAAAGAGATCTTTGGGGATTTTGGTGATGATTCAATTGGAATTTCTGAAGAAATTGTTGTTGATATAGGTGAAAGAAAAGGAAATGGGAAGGGCAAAGGTAAGGGTAAGGTGAAAGGAAAAGTTAAGGGTAAGGGGAAAGGAAAAGGTAAGGGTAAGGAGAGACCAAAGAAAAAAAAGTTGTGGAAGAAGGAGTTGAGGGTAATGGTGTATTTGATGATGTCAATGAATGTGAGGCTACAAAAGAAAGCTTGAGAGGTTTGAGTGACATTAAGGAGTATGACACTGATGATTTACCACATGTTTATGATAGTGAACATGATGAGATTCTAAAAGATAATTTTCCTACTTTCAAACTTCCAAAAAGAATGGATGATTACAAGTGGGAATTAGGGATTTATTTTGCTTCTAAGGAAGACTTTAAAGAGGGAATTAGAACTTATGTTATCCATTCTAATAGAAACCTACAGTTTAAGAAAAATGATAATAAGAGGATGAGAGTCATATGTAAGAAAGATTGTCCGTGGGAGTCATGCTATGCAAAATTACAAGATAATAATACTTGGCAGTTGAGAAAGATTGTGGACAAGCACACATGCAGTAGGGACTATAAGGTGAGGTTCCTAAATTCCAAATGTTTGGGGGGGGGGGGGAATTCAAAGTAATGTAAGAGAGAATCCTAATTTGAAGTTGAGTGACATAATGGAGAAAACAAAACAAAAGTGGAATGTAAGGATCAATAAGAGACTTGTATACAGAGCTAAGCCACTTGCTACTAATATTGTTAATGGTTTATTTAGAAAGCAATATACAAGAATCCATGATTATGGTCATGAGCTGTTAAGGGCGAATCCTGGTTCAACTGTAAAAATTACTAGTCAACCAAGTCAAGTTAGGGAGGAAAGTAGTGAGAATTCTGAAAGGCCTTAGAATCCACATTTCTAAAGGATTTATGTTTGCCTCAAAGCTTGTAAGGATAACTTCTTTAACTGAAGACCTATCATAGGTTTGGATGGATGCTTTTTGAAAGGCTATTATGGTGGAAAAATTCTTGCAGCCATTGGGAGGGATCCTAATGACTAATGCTGCCAATAGCATTTGTTGTAGTTGAGGGAGAAACCAAAGATTCATGGAGTTGGTTTTTGGATCTGTTGACATAGGATTTGGGAGGTGTGAGACTATGCAAAACATATACCTTTATAAGTGATCAATAAAAGGTGTGTACTAATAACTTTATAACTGACTATGTTTTTGACATAATTTGTTTTTGTTATCTTTAGAACTGATCTGGTATGACTAAAATACAGGGGTTGTTACCTGCCCTTGATGAGTTTCTGCCAGAAGTTGACCAAAGGTTTTGTGTTAGGTAAACATCTTTATATTGTGTTATATAGCAATGTATTGATGATGATTATGAGCCTTATATTTCTTATGATGATTATGGTAGTTTCTAGGGCTGGCAATGAACCAAACCAACTCGAAGATAGTTCGGAATTCGACTCGATAATTAAATCGTTGAACTAGGTTCATGAACCAAATGAGTTGAGTATGAGCGAAAAATTAAGTTCGTTAACTAAATGAGCTGAACTTGAACTATACATAGTTCGACTCGTTAGGTTCATGAGTCAACTCGACTACATATGAAAAGAATTATACTGTCTTTAAGATTAGGTTTAAATATTTACTTCAAATATTAGACAAATTTAATCTTCAATTTAGTAGTTTTTGAGTTAGACTCTCAAATGTATCTCTTGAAAGTTGTGTAGGTTTTGAATTAGTAGATTTCGAAGATAAAGTTAAATATCAATATGATAACTTTTATTTTATTTTAATATTTTATTTAAAAAATATATATTTATTTAAAATGTCAAATATACTAAAAAATATATATATTTAAAAAAATAGTTTTTAAGTTCGTGAACCATGTGAGCTGAACCTAACGAGTCGAATCGAACTGTTCGTGAACTTATAACGAGTCGAGTTTGAGCTTAAAAAAAAGTTCGTGTCGAACTCGAACTCGAACTCGAATTCGAACAATTCTTAACGAGTCGAGCCGAGCTGAGGTGAGTTCGACTCGACTCGACTCATTTCCAGCCCTAGTAGTTTCTAATGTGGATGTTTCCATTGTGTTATTGGCAGACACTTATATAGCAATTTCAGAAAGAAGTTTCCTCTGTTAAATTAAAGGAATTGATGTGGAAAGCTGCCAATGCTAGTTATTCAAATTCTTGGGAAACAATTATGCGTGAAATGAAAGAGGTGAATGAAGAAGCATTCAAGCACCTTTGGAAGATCCCACCTAGGTTCTGGAGCAAATCTAGGTTTAGAAATGGTCCAAAGTATGACACTTTGGTGAATAACATGTTAGAAGCCTTTAACTATGTTTTTGTAGCTGCAAGGGCCAAGCCCATCGTGACTATGCTTGAGGATATTATAGTGTACCTGATGCAAAGGTGGGAGTCTAACAGACAAAAGATTTCCAAATATGTTGATACCATTCTGCCGAATATCATAAAGAAGTTGGGAAAAGAATCACAAAAGATTAACAGTTGGATTGTTAGGTAATGTCTTATACATGAATTTCTAGGTAATACAAAGAAGTAGTATGCATCCATAACTGGCTTTTGTATTTGTAACAGGCATGCAGGTGAAGTAGATTATAAGGTTAGGCACATATCACTCATTGAAGAAAAGTTTGTTGTTAATCTGTCAAAGCATGAGTGTTCATATAGAAGGTGGATGTTGATTGGGCTACCATGCTGTCATGCCCTTGCATTTATGAAGGATCAACATTTACAGGTAGATTATTTTGTTCCTGATTATTATAAAAAGGAGTGTTATGAAGCTTTCTATGCACCAAAGATTTATCCAGTCAATGGAGAATCGCTTTGGACCAAAACAGGTGATGTTGACCTGCAACCACTCCCCATAAAAAGACAACCTGGTAGACCCAAGAAGAAATGGAACAAAGATGCTGGGGAACAAGTTAGAAATGATACACAACTCAAAAGGTCCAAATTTGGTATCAAGTGCAGCAGGTGCCATAAAGATGGTCACAACAAGTCCACTCGTAAGCTGCCTACAACAACAATAATAACAACACCAAATGTTGCTGCTATAACAACACCACCACCAACTACTGCTGCTAAAACAACACCAACACTAAATGTTGTTGCTACATCAGCACCACCACTAACTGTTGTTGCTACAACACCATCACCACCAACTACTGCTGCTACACCACCACCACCACCAACTACTGCTGCTACATCAATAAGACCACCAACTGCTGCTGCTACATCAGCCCAACCACCAACACCAGTTGTTATTGCACCAAGCCTATCACCAACACCAGTTACTGCTACATCAAGCCAGCCAACACCACATTGAGGTTCAACTCAAAAAGTATCCAAAAAAAGAAAGAGACTTCAAAAGGATCTAAAACCTGTTCTGAGCCAACCATAACCTTATGTTTGTCTTTGATGTGTACTAGTTATTCCACCCTTTTACCTATTATGTAGTTTAAGACTAAGACTTATAATATCACTTTTGTTGGATTTCAACTGCTGTAACAAAAGCAACTACATTTCATTGATATATTTTGACAAATACATAACAATTTTGACAAAACATTTCACAGATACAATTCAACCTCCTTGTTCACAACTACATGTCATTACAAAAAAACAACCAACCTAAAAAACTATTGTTACAAATATAACATTAAATAGTAAGCTCAATATTCCAATGATTATAGACAATTTCAACCATTCTCTTGTGTTGATGATCTCATTATTCAACTTATAAATTTTCTTCTTCTGCCTCTGGATCTTCAAATCCCTTTCATTGATAATGTCGTTGTCGAACCATTTGAAGAAATTACATCCCTTATTCACATGATCCCTGAAATTTCTGCCACCCTAAAACTTTTTCCCAAAATTGACACTACTTATATCACCCACAGTATGAAGCACACATTCATCTTGGCAAAATCACTCCCTCTTTTTGTTTCTTCGAACAATCGACCAAGATGTACCAATTGAAAAACTACTTGACATTTTAGACTTTGGAGACGAATAAGAAAGATAAACCCTAGGAATTGAGACAAAATGAAAAAAACGAGATGAAGAGAACTGCAGATAACAAGATGAATAGAACACGATGAGGGAAGCTACAAGAAGGAAGATGAATGAACCATGAAGATGAATATGCTGAGAAGAAGATGCAGGAAACCACAATCCTTTTTTTTGGAAACCATTACCATGAAGCAAATATTTCACCCTTTAAAAACTAAATTAATTATTCATTTGATGACTAGGCATACAGTTGGAATGCCACCATGGAAGTAACTAACGGTCTAACACATTAATGAACGAAATGGATCAAACATGTTAACAGAAGTAACATTACCGGACCAAATCGAATTGTTTTTTTATTAAGGGATTATATCGCAACTCATAAATAACTTACATGACTTGGGGACTAATTATGCCTATTATATTAGACATTTCATTAAATCAATATTGGTTTGTATAATTTTTTGATATAATATTTTGAAATATTGTGTAATATCCCTTATTGAAATTGGCAATGTTGAGTACAAAATATTTATTGAGAATGCAATTTTTTTAGTTCATGGTTTTTTTGGGCCAGAAAAATTTGGTTTTTATATAAGAACTTCTATAAATAATTGTGTGTGATTACAACCAAAGTGAGATCACTCATTTTAATTTATAAAATCCTCTTTAAAGTTTGAGGAATGATTTTTAGTCATTACTATGATTGACTTTCCAAAGGAGGACAATTTATGTAGAGATTATAGCTAATTAATGATATAACTAGTAGAGATGATTTGGTCTAAGGGATTTATTTGCCCAAAGGAGATAAATTTCTAAACCGATGTATGCTTGTTGAGTAACTCATTTGAGGTTCTGACATTGGTTGTGACCTGAATTTGCGTATTCCACCCAAAGGGGATTGTGTGGTAATGTTAGCCTCTTCGTGATAACTTATGTTCATTAAAGCTATATCTTACTTTTATTATTTATTATAATGCATTCCTGTTTTGTATCAATAATGACCTTCTCTATGAACAATTGCGCTACTTCTATTGAGATCCTGAATGGGTATAATTTTAAGAAATGGAATAAAGACTTAGAGTTTTCATTAGAGATTGTTGATCTTGACATGGCATTGCATGAAACCAAACCTTTGATCAATGATTAGAGTACACCTGAAGAGAAAGAAAAATTAGCCAAGTGGGAGAGGAGTGATTGACTTAACTTGTGTGCTATTAAGAGGACCATTTCTGAACATTTTATAAGTGGATTGCTTAAGAAAGGGAATGCGAAATAATATCTTATTGTTATTGGAGACATGTTTCATGTATCTGATAATTGTGAATCTAGATGTTTAATGAAACAGATCACAAACATAAAATATGATAATAATGGGGGTGTCAGGGAGTTAATTCTTAGAATGGTTCATGTCCAAACCAAACTGAAAAACTCATAACATTAATCTGAATGAGAATTTCATTTGGTATCATGCCTTAAACTGCTTACCTGCTGAGTTCACTCAAAATAAAATGGCTTATAATACCTTTGGTGATAAGTGGATTGTTAAAAACCTTATTACCAAGTGTGTAGATGAATAAGGGAAACTCAATAAGGATATAAGTGATTTAGGCCTTTTTATTGTTCTTACTAAACCCCATTCTAGTAAGAACTCTTGGAAAAATAAGAAAAATACTCATAATGTTTCTCATAGAGGTCCCAAGTTTAGAAAATCATGTAATGGTCAACCCTATAACATAGGAGATCCTAAGCCCATTGCTTTTAAGAAATCCATTTGGTATTTTTGGTGTTAAGAAAAGGGGCATAAGAAAACCGATTTCCATGCTTTTAAAACTTGGTTAGACATCAAGAACAAATTTGGGGAGGGGGGGGGGGGGGTTCAGAAACTAACAGAGACCAAACTTGAGGGAAAGCATGCTCAGGGTAGGAAATGATCTTGAAGACATTATGGAGCTACTTAGAGATGTCTGCTTGGCTCTAAGAAATGGTTTTGAACTTATTTTGAAAAATAGATTTTATGTGCCTTATTTTAGAAGGAATATAATTTCAGTATATTGTTTGGATAGACTTGAATTTCAGTTTACCTTTTATGATGGAAAAATAAATTTGATGTTGAATTCTCAAGTTGTTGGTAATGGTATCTTGTTGGATGGTTCATATAAGTTGTCTTTTGATTTTGATTATATTTCCTCATCCTTGAATACATTGCTAAAAAGGTCTAAAATTTGAGAAAATTCTCCTCGTTGTAGCACAAGCGTTTAAGCCATATCTCTAAATCAAAAGTGTAATGGTTAATTATGTTAGAACACAGATTGGTGTTTAATATATCTCATTGTTTTGATGATAACATTAATGAAATTTTGTATAAAAGAATTATATACTCGAATTCTTTTCAAGTGTTTATTTGTTTCAGATATCAAAATTAATATTATTCTAGAAGCAAGAACGCCTCTGAACACTACAGAACGATAAAGCTCTGAGCGTCAGAAGCAATACATAAGAAGACTCTAATCTACTATAGATGACTCTGAGCGAAGCTAAGAAGAATTTGAGTAAAGAACATACAGTAAAGTTTCAGAAGACTCTGGAAGTACTTAATACTGCAAGTATAGAGGCTCTGATAAGCAAGTCTGCTCTGATAAAGATTTTCACGCTAAAGCACTTTGCTGCAAAACTCTGTTAGAGTAACTCTGATCTGAAGAACTAGGAACATCATCAGAGGATCTAATGCAAGACGTTCCAAAGTTGTTGAAGAAGATGTTGTTCAAATAAAGATCTGTTGACATATTCCTTGTCCTTATCCAAACGACTCTTTCCTCATTCGTGCATGACGCATGAATTCAGACAAAAATGATTTGTCTGAACATTCCCCTTCTGAGAAAGGAAAAGTCAATAGAAGACAAAAGTAACAAAATATACAGTGTTGCACAGTCTTTGAGAAATGGATTTCAAGTACTATAAAAGCAAGTCTCAACATCACTTCAAAGTTGACGAATCACTTGACAAATTATTCAACAAGTAACTCATACAAACATTCTTCAAAGCTGAATAGTTTTTATTTTGTTCTTAAACTTGTGTAAAAATCACAGTTGGGATATAGTTTTTTAGAAGCAACTCTTAAACACATTGTTAGTTTATCTTTTGTAAAAGATTCCTTAAGAGACCAAGTGTGGTCAGATTTCTTGAGAAGACTAAGATTGTTTGTCTTAGTGGTTAACACTGTAATCAGTTTGATTTAGTGGATTAAGTCCTTGTTGAGAAAGGCAAATCACCTTGGTAGGATGGACTGGAGTAGTTTGAGTTCAAACAAACCAGGATAAAAATACCTTGTTATTTTTCTATCATCTTAATTGTCTTTGAAACCCTTATTCAACCCCTCCCCCTTCTAAGTGTTTTTCCTACCTTCAGTTGGCATCAAAGCTCCGGTTCTGTAAGTGCTATCACTTAACCGTGACAGAGAAAGATCCTGTTGGGAAAAACTCTTGATCTATTATTCTTGATTTATCATGGCTGAGACTTCAACTTCAAACAACAACAAATATGATGATAGAGACAAAATCAACACCAAAAACCTCCCATGTTTGATGGTGAGAAGTTTGATTATTGGAAAGATAGAATAGAAAGTTTCTTTCTAGGCTATGACGCTGACTTATGGGATTTGGTCATTGATGGTTATATTCATCCTATAAATGATGAAGGCAAAAGGGTTGACAGAAAGTCAATGACTGGTCAACAGAAAAAGGATTTTAGAAATCATCACAAGGTGAGAACCATTCTGTTAAATGTTATATCTCATACTAAGTATGAGAAAATAACAAATAGAGAAACAACATTTGATATGTTTGAATCTTTAAAAATGACGCATGAAGGAAACTCCCAAGTGAAGGAGACAAAGGCCTTAGTGCTCATTCAGAAATACGAAGCCTTCAAGATGGAGGAATCTGAACCTGTGGAAGTTATGTTCTCAAGATTTCAGATTCTAACTGCTGGTCTGAAGGTTCTGGACAAAGGTTACTCTACTTCTGATCACGTCAAGAAGATAATTAGAAGCTTACCAACAAGGTGGGGACCAATGGTGACAGCGAAGAAGCTTGCAAAGGATCTGAATAAGATCACTCTGGAGGAACTTATTAGTTCCTTTAGGAGTCATGAGATTGAGCTGGAAGAAGACGAACCTCAGAAGAAAGGTAAGTCTGTTGCGCTAAAATCTAACAAATATGCTAAAGCTTTGCAGGTAATTGAAGAAAGCTCTGAAGAATCTTCCTCTGAAGAAGATGAACTGTCTTTGTTGTACAGAAGGATAAACCAACTCTG